GGATACGGCCCCAACAGAAGCCTGCTGCATTGATTTGTTCTTTGTGTTTACAGTCATACCTCGGGTTACAGATGCTTCGGGTTGCGTTTTTTGGGATTGCGGACCACCGAAACCCAGAAGTACTGGAACAGGTTACTTCCGGGTTTGGGGGGTCGTGCATGCGCAGAAGTGCTAAATCGCGCTTTGTGCATGAGCAGAGGGCCTTTTCAGTAGTGGCACCTGCCCTGTGGAACGCCCTCCCACCAGATGTCAAAGAGAACAACAACTACCAGACTTAGAAGACATCTGAAGGCAACCCTGTTTAGGGAAGCTTTTAATGTTTGATGTATTATGGTATTTTAATATTTTGTTGGAAGCCACCCAGAGTGGCTGGGGAAGCCCAACCAGATGGGCGGGGTATAAATAATAAATTATTATTATTGTTGTTGTTGTTGTTGTTGTTAGGGCTAGCTGGGACTTGTGCATGGCAGCGGGTTGGGCTAGATGACCCTTGGGAATCCCTTCTGGCCCTATGCTTTTAGGAGGGTGAAAGGAAGGGGTGGGGATCTGCCCCTCCTGGAGAATGGTGGTTGGGGCTCCTATGGTTGCCCCTGCCTGTGTTGGAAGTGGCTCTTGAGGCTCCATGAAGAGAAGGCGACCCGGGAGGGGGCTCCTCCTTGCCCTTTCCCAGAAAGGGGACGTTCCTGCGGGCTCCCCTGCGTCGCCACCCTGACTGCTGCCTTGGTGGGCTATTTTCGGGAGACTTCTCTGCTTTCACCCGTGGCCACCGCTGGCTCCTCTCTTCCGTCAGGTCCCGTTTTTGTTTTAAATGTCTGTGGCTCGACTCGACCGAGTTCCGTTTATCACCGGGCGACGGCTCCTAAAATTAACGCACTAGGCAACGAACTGGAGAAAGTAAGAGATCGATACAGGGGCCGATTTATGGAAGAGTGGAAGCCTTTTCTGGCCTATTTGGGGGAAAGAAAAATAACCAAATGGAATCATGGGCAGAGCTTGACATTTGAGCCACGGGAAGAAAACGATCGGATATGAAATGGAGGAATATGTATTAGATGAAATGTGGGATATGATGCGGTTTGCATAAAAACAGCATGGAAGGGGAGGTGGGAAGTCAAATTAGAAGAAAAACGTATAGCAGATTTGAAATTCGTCAACGTTATGAAAATCTTAATGAAAATCTTAAGTAAAGAAAAAGTTTATCACTGTGAGGACTGCAGATCGGTGGCGGATCCCTTGCCTCGCATGCGAAAGGTCCTTGGTTCAGTTCCCCCATGGCTTCTGCAGGTAGGGCTGGGACCCCCACAGAGCTGCTGCCAGTCAGTGTTGGTGGGTCAAAGCACTGAGTGCCCAGCAGGCTTGTGTTTTTATCGGCCTTTCTGTTCAGAACCCGCATAGCCTAGAGTCGTATGATCAGTGGTAGAGCGGCTGCTTGGCATGCAGAAGGGCCCGGGTTCACCCCCCATTTCCAGGTGCGGCTGGGAGAGACCTCCTGCCAGGTACCCTGCAGTCAGTGGGGACAATACTGAGTTAGATGAATCAGCAGAAGGTTAACCTATTTAGATCAGAACAATGAGGTCTAGAATCTTGGCTTTGTTTTAAAGGAAAGAGCCATAAATCTGAGCACAGCCCTTGCTTTGCACTCTGAATGTCCTGGGTTCAATCCCCACGGGTGTAATCTCTTGGAGGGGGGGCCCTGCCTGACACCCAGGGAGACGTTGCTCCCAGTCAGTGTCGACAGCCCTGAACTAGATGGGACCCCATGGTCTGACTCTGCATAAGGCAATTTCAAGCCCACACCACTGATTTGCAGGGCGCCTTTAACCGTTATTTGCAGTTTTGTTTTCCGCCTCTTTCCAAATGCTCCACAATATCCTTAAAAAAAGAGGACTGTGCCCAGTCTTCCAGATGTCCTTAAATCTGAGGCTGAGAAGACCTGAGAGGGTCCCTGAGGAAGCAGAGAGCTGGTTGCTTCCCGTACAAAGGAAATCTCTTTAAAAGAAAAATCCCCGCAGAACTGGTGATTTTGTCCAGTCCTTAAAAAAGAAAAATACAGCCGAGAGGAAGAAGCCGAACGGATAACAGTATTTCCGAGAGCAGCTGATTCCTGGCTGGGGGATAAGGGGAGGGGGGGTTGTGATTTTTTTTTGGGAGGGGGGGAGGCCTCTGTAGTGGGGCAGGACGGGGGTTCCCAGAGGATGGGCGGCTGCCAATCTGTGCGTGCACAAAGGGCTGGAGGTGTCAGGATGTTGCAAGTTCCTCAGCGGAAAGTTCCCTTTGTCCTGATTCTGTTTTTGCAAGCAGAAATGGAAATGGAAAGCGTCGATTTTGGAGGCCAAGGATAATGTTTGCCCTGCGAGGGGGTTGGAAATCTGACTTCCAGGAGGCAGATAATTAGAGAGGAGCCTCTTCTGAGGCGGCAATTGCGGGGGGGGGGGGCTTTTTCTCGGTTTGATTTTCGTCTCCCTACCCAAGGCTTGAGGTGGTGGCGTCTGGCTGGCAGTATGGCCCCGTGTAAAAAAGTGCTGGGTGCCTATATAGATTGGGTGGGTGGAAGCAGAAAAGCCCAGTTTGAAACCTCCACCTCTTATCCCATAATTTGCAAGAACAGCTGCAATGTCTTTGCGCAAAACATGCGCAGGAGGGCCTTGATCTGCAGGCCCTTTGGTGACCGAGTGGCGTCATCTGGATTCTCCTTCTCCTTCTTTATCCAGTTTTTTTTTGCTTTCTGTGGAGAGACAAGGCATTTGGGAGATTCCTAGGCAAGACCAGAATACTGGAGGCCACGATGGGTGGGAGACTTTAAAGCCCTTGGCCCATTGGACCAAACTCAGGAGTGTCTTGTTTTTTGATTTCACTTTAATTCTTTCTGGGAGCCTTTTTTAGCTGAAAAGCAGGGTGCAAATGCTCAAAATAAATAAATAGAACAAATCATGGAGGAGAGAGCCGTCAAAGGCTGCTAGCCATGATGTCTTTGCTCTGTCTCCTTCTTCTTTGGCGATCCCTCGTAGCCGAGTAAGATTGTCTTCCATAAACACGGTTTTAACAATGAGTCCATAAGTGACTGTGGAGGCCAATTCTGGATCCACTTGTCCTTCCACAGTGGGGACATCGGTTTCCAGGCGGGAGTTGATCACAGTGTGGATTTGCCAAGTGTGCCTTCCTCTTAGCACTTTTCTCCCTTGTGTTCTGAGTTCGAGTGTCTTCAAAGCCCATGACATCTTTGGTAAAGGCTGTTCTCCAACTGGAGCGCTCGCAGGCCATTGTTTCCCAGTTGTCAGTACTGGGAAACTACATTTTTTTAGATTTGCCTTGAGAGAGTCTTTAAACCTCTTTTGTTGACCACCAGCATTACGCTTTCCATTTTTAAGTTCGGAATAGAGTAGTTGCTTTGGTAGATGATCGTTTCGTCTGGTGGTTGTAAGTTGCCCATGACTCACCTCCATAAAGCAGTGTAAGCCTTGTAGACCTTCATCTTGGTATTGGATGTCAGCATCACATTCTCCCATACCCTTTTGGAGAGGTGGGCCGTTGCCAATACAGTGGTTCCTCAGGTTACATACGTTTCAGGTTACAGACGCTGCAGGTTACAGACTCCGCTAACCCAGAAATAGTACCTCGGGTTAAGAACTTTGCTTCAGGATGAGAAGAGAAATCGCGCTGCTGCGGTGCGGTGGCAGCAGGAGCCCCATTAGCTAAAGTGGTGCTTCAGGTTAAGAACAGTTTCAGGTTAAGAACGGACCTCCAGAACAAATTAAGTTCTTAACCCAAGGTACCACTGTACGCTTGTCCAGCTCAGCATTGATGGAGAAATTGCTGGTTATGGTGGAACTCACGTAGTCAAAATGGTCTACCACAAGTGTGTGGGTACCAGCGTTGATGTATGGAGTGCTGGCGACATTCCCACCCAGAATGTTGGTCTTCCAGCAGACTCTTCTTATATTTTTTTGTTTCTGAGACTTAATGTCCAGGAAGCTGTTTTCCAGCGAGCTCTGTCCTGGCTCTGGGAATTGCATTTTGATGTCCTCCTGCAATGCCTGGCTGTATCCAGAGTTCCCCTTCCAGAGACCTGCTTCCTTGTGATGGGCCATCCTTCCTTCCTTTTTCTTTTTTTTTGGTATAATTTTTTAATTTGATTTTAAAAAGCATAAACATACAACCAAAAACAGTTCCGAATCTGAATATCGAGATTGCTCTGAATCTCCTGACTTCCCCCATCCCTTCCTAATGATATTTTTTACATCTGCATCTCAATACTTACACAAAATTTTAATCCTTCTATAGTATCCATACTTTCAATTACTTTACAAGTGTGGTTAAAATCCTGCCAATGTTTTAACCTGCTTACAGTGGTCTCGTGAATAAATTATAAACTTCCCCATTCCTTGTTAAAGGTCTTGTCTTCTTGATTTCCGAGCTTCCCAGTTAATGTTGCAATTTCTGCATAGTCCATCAACTTGGTTTGCCATTCTTCTCTGGTCGGGGTCGTTTCTTCCTTCCATCTCTGAGCATCCTTGCGGCTGTTGTCGCAGGTGATCCATCCTTCCTTGCCAAGGCTCCAGAATCCCCCTTCCTCCTTTAGCTGTGATCCCTTCATTGCAGGGGGCTGGACCACCCTACAATTCTGTGATTCCCCCTTCCTTCTCCTCTGTTTGTCCGTGTTTTATTCCGCCGCCAGAACAAAGCTCAGTGTTTACTCTGGGTCAAGAGGAAGATGGATGGAGTCCCCGAGCCAGTCATTTCCTCGCCTTCCTGTGTGGGGCCTGTGTTAAGTGTCAAAGGAGGAAGCACGTGGTTGTCACCAGCGGCAACCTGGAGTGGTTGTCCTGATGTTTTCTGGAGCGGAGTCAAGTAGCGGAAGAGCTCTGCCTGCCTGTCTCCATCCCTCGCTCTCTGAGGTGGTGCTGAAAGCCTGCAAATGAGTCAACAGGGCTTGGGCATCTTGAGAAGGCAAGGCTGGGCTTCTCTCTTGCAAGGGCAACAGAGAGGTTCTTTGGGTTAATGGGGCTGTGGCTCAATAGCAGAGCCCCTGCGTGGCATGCAGAAGGCGCCAGGCTCAATCCCTGCTGGCAACCACCTCCAGATCTGCGTTCGAAATTCGCTAGGCATCAGGCACATTTTGCACCTGGCTATTGGAGACTTGCGACCAAGCGAAGGTGCCAGTGTGTCAGGATGGTGCCTGACGTCTCCACCATCTGGAGGTGCGTGCCTGGGGTTGCTTGGATCGGGGCTCTTTTCACAAATTAGCAACGCATCCTGTCGAATTTTGTTAGATTTTTATCTGCACAATCAGAATGAATTTCAGGAACCAAAAGTTAATATTGAAAAATAGGGCTTCCTAGCTGTCTGGCCCCAAAATGGCAACTGGACATTCCCTTTTGGCAACTGTAACCCTGGTTTAAGGAGCCATTTGGCCCCTAGCTGATATATCTGATTTTCTAACACTGACTGGTTCTGGTCCTGCCATCTGGAACAGCCGAAAGCAAAGCTTGCTCCATTTACCATGGGACAACCCTTCAGATATTTTAGGATGGCTGTCATACCATATCATCTCTCTGCCTCCTCTTCTCCAGCCTTAACCTGTCGTTATCATCATCATCATCATCATTTATTATTTATACCCCGCCCATCCAGCTGGGTTTCCGCAGCCACTCTGGGTGGCTTCCAACAGATTAAAAACAGAATAAAACTTCAAACATTAAAAACTTCCCTAAACAGGGCTGCCTTCAGATGTCTTCTAAATGTCAGGTAGTTGTTTATTTCCTTGACATCTGACGGGAGGGTGTTCCACAGGGCGGGCGCCACCACCGAGAAGGCCCTCTGCCTGGTTCCCTGTAACCTCACTCCTCGCAGGGAGGGAACCACCAGAAGGCCCTTCGCGCTGGACCTCAGTGTCCGGGCTGAATGATGAGGGTGGAGACGCTCCTTCGGGTATACTGAGCCAAGGCCATTTAGGGCTTTAAAGGTCAGTACTGACACTCTGAATTGTGCTTGGAAACGTACTGGGAGCCAATGAAGGTCTTTCAGGACCAGTGTTATATGGTCTTGGCGGCCGCTCCCAGTCACCTGTCTGGCTGCCACATTCTGGATTATTTGGGTTAGCCTGGCTCCCTCAACTCTTCCAACTACGGCTATAACCGTTTCCATCATTAGTCCTACTCTGAGTAGACCCGTTGAAACTGAACGGGGGGCTGGGCTGGGCTTACCCAAAGCTGGGGGGGGGGAGAGAAGGGAGACAGGAAGGGCGTTGGAGTGCTAAGGGACCCTCGTCTTCGCGAGGGATTTCCCGTGGCTACTCTTTGCCAGTTCAGCAACTTCCGCAAGACAATTTCCGGAAGAGAGTCAAGGCCACCAGACGGCGATTCTCCGGCCTTTAAGTAGCCTGGCAGTTTGGTTCTGGAAATAGCTGCCATTGTTCTGATGGGTGGCTGGACCAGAGAGCAGGATGGAAAGTCGCTTTTCCCAGGCGGCAGGAAAGGAGACAGTGCGGGGAGGGCAGAAAACATCAGGTTTCCAGAGAAGGACAGAAGCAGAGCAGTCGACTCGTTTCTTTACGTGGTTTGTTAAATTTGTGTCCCCAAAGGAGCCCAGGGTGGCAGGTAGTCTGTAGTCCATGCATTGGTAACGTTGCAGCTAGATTACTGCATTGCGCTGTTTGTGGGCCTGGTTGGGAAGCTCCAGCTTGTGAAGAATGCTGAGGCCAAATTGCTGAGGGGAGCTTTTAGTCGAGAACATGGGGCCCGTTGTTAGAACATCTGCCCTGGCTGCCCCTCTACTGCCGAACCATGTTCAAGATCCTTGTGTTTATTTATGGAGTCCTGAACAATTTAGGGTGCCTCGGGGACTGCCTGAACCCGTATACAGTGGTACCTCAGGTTACAGACGCTTCAGGTTACAGATGCTTCAAGTTACAGACTCCGCTAACCCAGAAATAGTACCTCGGGTTAAGAACTTTGCTTCAGGATGAGAACAGAAATCGTGCGGCGGCAGCGGGAGGCTCCATTAGTTAAAGTGGTACCTCAGGTTAAGAACAGTTTCAGGTTAAGAACGGACCTCCAGAACGAATTAAGTTATTAACCCAAGGTACCACTGTACCTTGGTTCTCAACCGCCTTGGTACTCAAGCAACTTGGAACCCAAAAACTGCAAACCCGGAAGTAAGTGTTCCGGTTTGCAAACTTTTTTTGGAAGATGAATACGTTCCGTTTTGAGTGCCATGCTTCCGTTTTGAGTGTTACGCTGAGGTTGGTCTGTTTTTGCTATTTATTTTGCGTTTTTGTTTCGGCGGCTCTTTTTCGTTTTGTTTTTGTGACTGTGTGGAACCCAGTTCAGCTACTGATTGATTGTGTGACATTGTTTTTGCTTTCATTTTATGGATCAGGGGTCAGCAAACATTTTCAGCCGTGGGCCGGTCCACTGTCCCTCAGACCTTGTCAGGGGGCCGGACTATATTTTGAAAGAAAAAAATATATGAACGAATTCCTATGCCCCACAAAAACCCAGAGATGCATTTTAAATAAAAGCACACATTCTACTCATGTAAAAACATGTTGATTCCCGGACCATCCACCGGCCAGATTTAGAAGGCGATTGAGCCGGATACAGCCCCCGGGCCTTAGTTTGCCTACCCATGTTATGGATCAATAGTCTTGTTAGATAGTAAAATTCATGTTCAATGGCTCTGTTTTAGGAGTTGCTTTTAAAAGCCTGGAATGGATTAATCCATTTTGCATTATTTTCTATGGGAAAGCGCGCCTTGGTTTTGGAATGCTTTGGTTTTGGAATGGATTAAGTTTGAGAACCAAGGTACCCCTGTAATATCGCAGCTTGACTACAGAAATAATCTGCAGGAGCATATCTGGTCGTTTCCCAAGTTGGCGAGGCCCCTTTGACAATGAGAAACTTTAGTGTCGCTGGCCCAGTCCTGTGGAACTCTCTGCCACTGGAGGTTGAGCAGGCTCCATCTGTGCCAACATTTAAACACCTGCTGAAATCTTTTCTGTTCCACCAGGCTTCTTCAGGCAGTTAGGAGAACATCCCTCGCAACCGTCTGTTGATGTTTGTTTTCAATTCTTTCGCTTGCAACTTGTTTTTAACTTTATGATTTCGCTGTGTGGTTTTATAGTGCAGTAAACCACTGTGATATATTTCTCTGATACTTTGGTATATGATTTTTTAATGAATAAATAAAGAGCAAGTGAGGAAGCAGTAAAAACAAATCTTAAAAACGATCCCGGTGCAGATGGGGACTGGCAGGAAGTTCTCCACTTGCACAAGGCTTGTTGGGTAGGGAAGTAGGATCTCAAAAGATGCCAGAGCCTAATATTTTAAGGGAAGTGCATTCCAAGGGGCAGGTACCCCGACACTAAAAGCCCAATTCCTAACCTGCCTTGCAGGGATGTTGAGAGGATAAAAAAGAACCATGTGCAACAGCTTGAGCCCCATGGAGAGAAAGGTGTGCTATAAATGTGACAGATTAATAACTACGGGGAAAATAATGCTGAGGGGGGAAAATACAGAGAGAAACAACTTTGCAAAACTGAGCCAGCAATTAAACAGCAATGATACCAGTAGAATGCCATCAGAAGATCAAAGCTACTACTTCAAATGCCTGAGGATTTTTTTTTTTATTACTGTAATAATAAAGTTTGCCTGGCACAGAAGTCTTCTTGCATCGGAAGGACTCTTTTGCTCAGCTTCTTATCACACTGATAGCCAACTACAAACACAGCAGTGCGGATGTTGGGAGACTGCTGTCGTACCTCTCTTTAATCTTCCCTTTCTGTGTATGCGTAAGGAAATCCAGAGTTGATTAACTGGGCGTCAGCCCTGATGAAGGGTTGATTAAGTGCCCAGATACTGGGCTGAGCTGGATAAAAAAAATCTGTCTTCATGTAACCAATTTGGGTGGGTATGGAGGACTCCCTGGTCCTGAATGGGGTAACTGTGCCCCTGAAGAACCAGGGGCGCAGCCTGGGAGTCATTTTGGACTCACAACTGTCCATGGAGGTGCAAGTCAATTCTGTGTCCAGGGCAGCTGTTTACCAGCTCCATCTGGTACGCATGCTGAGACCCTCCCTGTCCGCAGACTGTCTCGCCAGAGTAGTGCATGCTCTGGTTATCTCCCGCTTGGACCATAGCTGTCAACTTTTCCCTTTTCTTGCGAGGAATCCTGTTCGGAATAAGGGAATTTCCCTTAAAAAAAGGGAAATGTTGACAGCTATGCCTTGGACTACTGCAATGTTCTCTACTTGGGGCTACCTTTGAAGGTGATCCAAGAACTACAACTAATCCAGAATGTGGCAGCCAGACAGGTGACTGTGAGTGACTGCCAAGACCATATAACACTGGTCCTGAAAGACCTATATCGGCTCCCAGTACATTTCCGACCACAATTTAAAGTGTTGCTGCTGACCTTTAAAGCCCTAAACAGCCTCGGCCCAGTATACCTGAAGGAGCGTCTCCACCCCCATCATTCTACCCGGACACTGAGATCCAGCTCCGAGGGCCTTCTGGCAGTTCCATCCCTGTGAGAAGTGAGGTTACAGGGAACTTCTCGGTGGTGGCACCCACCCTGCAGAACGCCCTCCCATCAGATGTCAAGGAAATAAACAGTTACCTGACTTTTAGAAGACCTCTGAAGGCAGCCCTGTTTAGAGAGGTTTTTAATGTTTGATGTTTTATTGTACTTGCAATTCTGTTGGGAGCCGCCCAGAGTGGCTGGGGAGACCCAGCCAGATGGGTAGGGTAAAATAATAATAACAATGATGATGATGATAACTTGGAAAAAGTAAGGTAAAGGGACCCCTGACGTTTAGGTCCAGTCGTGGCCGACTTTGGGGTTGTGGCGCTCATCTCGCTTTATTGGCCGAGGGAGCTGGCGTACAGCTTCCGGGTCATGTGGCCAGCATGACTAAGCCGCTTCTGGTGAACCAGAGCAGCGCATGGAAACGCCGTTTACCTTCCCGCTGGAGTGGTACCTATTTATCTACTTGCACTTTGAGGTTCTTTCAAACTGCTAGGTTGGCAGGAGCTGGGACCAAGCAACGGGAGCTCACTCCGTTGTGGGGATTCGAA